GTTGGAAGGATGTAATTTAGATTTAGATCAATTATGTGATCTAAGTGATCCAATTGATGGCCCAATTGATGATCCTGACGCAACTACAACTGTACTTCCGGTAACAACAACTGCACCACCCGTTACAACAACTGCACCACCTGTAACAACAACTGCACCACCCGTTACAACAACTGCACCACCTGTAACAACAACTGTGCCTCCAGTAACAACAACTGCACCTCCGGTCACAACAACTGCACGTCCAGTCACAACAACTGCACGTCCTGTAACAACAACTGCACAACCCGTTACAACAACTGTACCTCCAGTAACAACAACTGCACCTCCAGTAACAACAACTGTACCACCAGTAACAACAACTGCACCTCCAGAAACAACAACTGCACCTCCAGAAACAACAACTGCACTTCCAGAAACAACAACTGCATCTCCAGAAACAACAACTGCACCTCCAGAAACAACAACTGCACCTCCAGAAACAACAACTGCACCTCCAGAAACAACAACTGCACCTCCAGAAACAACAACTGCACCTCCAGAAACAACAACTGCACCTCCAGTAACAACAACTGCACCTCCAGAAACAACAACTGTACCTCCAGAAACAACCACAGTACCTCCTGCAACCACAACAACTGTGCCACCTGTAACACTCCCAACACCTAACGAAGTATGTTTCGGATACACAGCCGCTGGACGTTATCCATACCCCGGAGACACCGGATGTACAAAGTATGCAAACATTTTTTCTTAAAGTCACCATTGATTTGATTAATTTATCCCATAATATTTTTAAATATTACTTTTTAGTTACGTTTACTGCTTCTGGAAAGGAGGTTACTTACAAGGTACGGCGATGACATGTCCCGCAGGATTGTACTTCAGTGCAGAAGCCAACAATTGCATTAACGTTAAACCAGCCACATGTGTGTAAATTAGAACTTTCTGAACCCTAAATTATAGGTTTTCCTAGCTATAATTTTCAAAGTGAATATGACTAGAGTATACACCACTTTATTTAATAATATAATTTAAGTAAAATAAATATTTTTAAAATAAAATATTTGTTAATAATAAATTACATTGTACTATATTACTTAATTACTAATTTTTCATAATAAATTAATAAATAAAAAAATAAGTAATTATAATTGATTTAATCAGTGCATTGCGGGTGTCATGATGAGAATTTCTTAAAAACAATATATTCATGGACGTTATATTGAAATTTTTTTATATTCTGCAAATATCGAGAAATATTTGTATATACTTGAATAAATTTGTATGGTATATTTTTATGACAAATTTGGTAACTGTTCCGAAAATATATAATTACTAGTTAAAGACTAATAATTCCTTAATAACTTATTTTGTTGATTAAAAATGGAATTTCAACTCAAACACCTGATATGAACATTAATACAGTCGAAATAGAGATTACAAAGCTTCACAGCTATGAAATATCACTTTATTATTTAATTCCCAATACTTTTTGGATCAAATATATATAGCTTTAAATGCAACCAACAATAGTTAAGAGTGATAGAAGTATAAACATACAGAAATTAAAACAACATTTTTATCAAAGCCTATTAAAAACATTACCGAAACATATTAAAATTATAATGAAACAAAGTGACTTCTGGCCGATTCTATATACTGTTTTATATATATATATATTGATATATATATTAATATATATATATAAATTTTTATATACGCATTATTAATTATAGGTTTATTATGGGTTGCTTTTATACCGTTTATAAAACGCTCAGTTTGGTTTTGAACATGATATCTATTGCATTTATGGGTTTGATGACGTTATTTATTTATAACCTCATTTCGTGGTCTGAGTAACAAAAAGAACAGTTACATACTTTATGGACAGAACAGGAACTAAAACATATTCTTCAGAAATTACAGCAATCAATGTTGTCAGAGTTGTTTTTGTACGAAGTCGTTCGTTATTTAACTCCTTAATGTTTTAGAATTGTATAACTATACTTCGAGTGATATTTATCTCAGTAAAAATTGGAATAGTAAAAATTGTCTGTGTATAAACTAAAAATATCTAAAGATTATTGACGTAAACAGGTAAAATAGAAAAAAGTAATTTTCAACTAATTGTGTTCTCTCTGTTCCTTAATAAATGAAAAATTGTTGTCTCCATTACTGACTCAGAAGAGCTGAAAGTGAATCTTCAAAATGTAGTAAATTCAAAGCATTAACAACAGTAATTATATCTCAAAACTTTTTCGTCTAATATAAGTTTTAACACTAAACTATACATGTGTGTATATGTAAGAGTATAAGTTATAACCCTTTATAAGGTTACAAGCAAAAATAAATGTTATGGACACAATCTCCATATATAGACCTCGATAACACAAATAATAGTCAGAAACGACGATTCAGCATACAAATGAAACATGAAATTGGATAAAGGATTTGGCAATATAAGAAGGTAAGAAATAAATCGATTTCAAAACTTTCCAATACCTAATAACTACTGTGTGTCTTTAATTCTTGAAGATATATAAACAAGCTCTTGTTGCATAATTTTCTACAGTCTCAAAGTGCAGAGTCGATGTGAAATTAAAGCATTAGAGTCTTCTTTAATAATGACTTTAACAGTGGCTATTGTTTGATATCTGCATATTTTTGATGGCAGCTTGGAGCTCAAAAAGGTAAACATGAATTTGAACAATTATGTTGAATATAAGATTGGCATAATGCTTTAAACATTAAAGAAGATTTTAGGTTGAAGCAAATGTTAAACATAATCGTTCAAAGTGAGAAAAGAAAGGATCAAATCGTACACCATTAACCTACCATTATTCTCTTATAGATGTCGCTGCAATCTAACAAATATCGCAAAGGATTCTTATTAAACCAGGCTTATTGAATCGTGTGTTAGGTTAAGTAAGGTTATACCGACGACACAAAAGATCTGCTTATAAGAATTAACCTATTATGTCACAGTACAATGGAAAAATTAGAGGTTGTGAAACCACCTTGAACGTGTGGCAAAGCTTGAAATTCGTTTTAATGAGACCAAAATCCTTAACAAAAGACACGTATAGTATAGTAAAGTATTAGAAGTATTAGGTAGTACTGAGAGTAATCTCTCAATATTATATGAATGTGTCTTTATATATACTTTTTTGGAGAATTTTGCATCATATATTTTGAAAACAATAAAAAAAAAAATGTATGTTCTCAAATATTAAGAAGCATAAAATGAGATTGTTATTGTTTTTGAGAAAACGCAATTACTACTTGCCATATGTGCCATTAAGTCTGTCCGCAAGATATACATATACGTCTACTGTTATTTAAATTCATTAAAGTTCATCATTCTTCTTTACGGTGCGTGGTATTAACACTATATTTTGACAGAAAAGGAAGCTCTTCCGTTTCAATTCCTAAGAGCTTCATTATTTTGCAATTTAATCTGCTGCCGGTATTATTAGCATATGCTTTTAATTAAAATCTCCTATGAAAGGATGAAAGGATATAAACAGCCATCACATAAAACAAAAAAAAACACGATTTCAAGTTTTCAATTACCACGCACATTCCATATTTCCACGATTTTAACAGAAACGCAACTCGAACAAAAATTACACAACAGTCAATATACCCGAAACGGGTAGGCCACTTGCCTCACATCGCATAAAATTGAGTTGGTTTTTACATTTAATGTTAAATAAAATCAATGAGAATTTTGAATAATATATTACATACATATATTACATCCAATAGTGAATACAACACTTTTTCTACTCTGCTTTGTTATGGCACATTTAATAAATGTCTATAGGAAAGGGTAGCTATGTGCTATGATTCACGCAACTAAATTTGTGTTAATAATTCTCATTAGGTTTAATTTCCCCTAAAAGTGCCCTTTTAGGGTATTCTATTAATGGTAAAAAAATTGGCTGACTTCAAGGTGCTGAAGATCATTTACCAAGTCTTTCGTTAATAAACTAGCATTGTTCAGCCAAGATGAACTTATGAAGCTACCCAAACATTGTAAGAGGTCATATATACACTAAATTCAAAATGATTTTGAATAAAAATTTTATTTCAAAAATCTGCAAAAAAAATTGGGGATACTTTTTATAACGCTTATTAGTGTTTTGATTTCCGTCTTCACATTTATTTCTCTTTTCTTAACCAAGAAATTATGCAGTTATAAGTATTCATTTCTTTACTGTAATTATATGGTAGTTACAGATAAAACATTAATTTTTATTTTTTTATTTAAATACAACTTTATTTATTTTCTTATTAATACAAATAAGGAAAATTATTTCTATTTTCAAAATTTAATTACACAATTTTATATTTAAACTATTACTTAAACCTACACAGCATTTCGTTGGCACTCTACTTCACCTTGCACTGAACTCTCCGGAACACAAATTTCAGGGGTTGAACTGCTACAAACCCATCCTGTAGGACATGTGGCAACATCATCGGTTACCACATCACCGTTGCATAAAGCGTACTGAGTGCGACTGACACAAGTGAAAAGCTTCTGGTTGTTGCAAACGCTGCACCCTGAGGTTAAGTCACAATGTGGTTTAACACTAGGACCTTCTGCAACGCATATAACTCTTAGATCGGTACAAACATTCGCGTCGGGGCAGTGAAAAATGTATCTGTTATCAATTGTTTGATCGTGACAAAGTCGGAAAGATGTTTCGTTGATACATGCAACACTGTTAGATTCGCAAACATTACACTTTGCACTTGCATGCTGCAATAGAAATACTGCAGCTATTGTGAAGCACTGAAATGTTTAGAAAATTTTTATCACATCCTGAGTATATCATATATTATATATATACTGAAGATATATATTATTACCAATAGAAAAACTTTACTCTGCTGCATGTCTTCCTTAGTTCTTTTGAATTTAATGAGTTTTGAATTACTGATTAATTTTCACAGCTGAACAACCATTTATATACGAAGACTTTTTAATCTTTAAATAGTCTAAACATCTCATACACATGTGAGATAAAATTCATTATAAAAATTTTAAAATTCAGGGACACAAAGTCATAATTAATTTGTTTTTATTTTTTAAATATAATTCTTATGTTGATAACATAGAAATCTGTTTGATAAGAGAATATAAACGGCTTCTCATTGCTCTACACTCGGATGTGACAAATTCAAATATTTATACAAGGGTTGCACACCTATTCAAAGAGGTTGTTTTTTTGGAGTATTTGTATATCAATGGCATATACAATGAGAAGAAAGTGGAGTGGATATATTTCTTCTCTGAGACATAAAAGGGTCTTAAGTCGTTGTGTATTTCAGGGGGATCACACTAAAAACACTTCTTGCGAAAAGTAGTGTAAGTCATTCGTAACTGTAGTAAGTAGTGTTAATAGAGGTATTTAGAATAAAGACTTGTTTTTTGTCAGTAAACATCCATCCATAGTACATCCGCATGAATGATATGTTAACAGATCTTAGAATAGATCCGGTTAAAAATACATAAGGGACAGAGCCCTGAAGCTATATACGAAAACCGACAGGCTACCCTATTTAGCACTATCTAATCTCAGAGTAATCACTAACCGCACGGGGCGGTACGCAGATCTTAGATCAGTCATTGAATAATCACGAAGCTTATGAGGAATACACAAATTATTCAGTGAGATGAGTAGGACTCTGCAGAAACCCCTCAGCTATCAAAGCGTAAAAGTGACCAAATACACTAATTCGGAATAGGCTCAACATTAACATAAAGATTTTATTTAGTTATTTTATTTTCAAATGTTAATTTGTAAAACAAAAAAAATATTTTGCATTCTTAGATCGCCAGTTCCCTGATATTTAACAAACATTATATTTCACTGTTCCAAAGTTATTTCAAAAATTTATTTTTAAAATAGCTTTAATTCTCTT